CTGAGTGTACCAATCAGATCTTCAATCAGAGTCTTGCCCCACCCTTTCCCCTTGTCCATATAACATTCCTGGCTGAAGAAGAAGAAGGTGGATGAGAAGGAGAAGGAGGAGAAGAAAAATGAGCAAAGATGAACGAAGACAAAGAAGAGAACACAAAATGTAAGAAGACAGGAGCAAGAGAACAAAAGAAAAAGAAAAGAGAAGACAAGAACAACTGGTGCAAGCTCGCAGGCGCACAGGTGCGATCCACAAATGGGCGTTGCATATGTTGCGATTTTTGCAGAAAACTAAAATGTCTAGGCAACATTGGGGCGTGGCCTATATCACAGGATGCAACTCAATTAAAGGTTTTTAAAGGTGTGAGTTATCAGCCAAAACGCACTTATATTGATTATAGCGCCACCTGCTGGTGGACATTTTCTGTGCCTGACGTACATGCACCAGTCTCTACCTCTCCTGTCAATGTCACGTCCGTAGCTCTTACGATGTAGGTTGCAGTACCAGTTTTACCAACAGCATAAAAATACAAATCAGAGCTATTTAGATCCAGCATCGCTTGTACTGGAAAGAAAAAAACAAGAAGCGATAAGAAGAAAAAAGGGAAGATAAGAAGAGAAGAGAACAGAAAATGAGATTATAAGAACAAAGGAAGAGAAATAAAAGAACAGCCAAGAACAAAAATAAGAGAAGAAATAGAAAAGAAGAGGAGAGAGCCAAAAGAAAAGAAAAGAAAAGAGAGGAGGAAAAGAAATGGGTGTCGACAGCTACTGCAGATAAAGCTGGACAGATTTCTTATCGAACCCTCTCCTCTCCCTTTCTCCCCTCCTCTTCCACCTCTTCTGTCCGTTGGCAGAATGCTTATCACCAGGGCAACCCACTTATCACTACGGCAACCCACTCAATCACCGTGAGACACACAAGAAACCAGTCATTTCAGTGGTGGCAGGCCAGCTGCCATATCAGAACCTACATATCTTAACAGGCTCTCAGTAAATCAGCTTCTACTGCCACTACAGCCATCTGCAGGTCTCTCACACACACACACACACACCAACACACACACACACAGCTGCACCTCACAGAGCCTAGAAATCATAATAAAACTTCTGGAAACCTCTTTGGTTTTTGATGTGAGTGCAGTTGTCATGACCTGTCAGTACATAGAAAATTATTTCCATGTTCAATTATTTATGGGTGCAGCTTTGGTAGTCAAACCACCCATGACATTTTGTGTGATTGTAATCCTTTAGCTGCTTGGATGTGTTCAGAATCAACAAGTAGGACTAAGGAGCAATTTACCGTAATTAGCGTGGTGGACCTGCCTGTGTCTGTGACAACACATGAGTCATTACGTGGAAAGATTTCACCATTATGTGCTTCAGCGTTTGGCCCATGCTGCGGCCCACCTGCAGCCAGTTGTAAACATATGGAAAACACTGGCAGTCAAGTGAGGGTAAGCCAGCAACACAGTAGTGTCCTAATGAACAACATTCATGACAAATGAAAAGAGGCCGGACGCAAAAATATGTGGTCTAATGTATTCTCATTTTTTGACAAAACAATCCCAACTCAAGGTCTACTTACTAGCTTTCAGCCGTAATCACAGTCTTCACCACGGGGTGGAATCGGCTCAGCTGTCATTGAGGTTGATTTCATCTATAGCACTAAAGAAATGCTAGAAAGTGCACCTTGATTGGAATTGTTTTGCCAGAAAAGTAAATAAAATGGTCTAAAAAATGTCCAGTGTGTATCATTTAGGAGGATCTGTTGGCAGAAATGGAATATAATATGCATAGCTATGTTTTCATTAGTGTATAATCACCAATAAATAAGCATAACTCTGTTTTCGTTAGCTTACAATGAGCTGTTTTTATCTACTGAGGGTGCTCTGTCCTCTTCCACAGAGTCCACCATGTGAAACCACCACATTTGTACAGTAGCCCAAAACCCAAACAGTGGCTCTACATAAGGGGTGGTAATGTTCTTTGCACATTTCGCAACCACCATAATTTCTCTTTGGCGCTTGGAAGGAAGCGGGGGGACTGCACCGATTAATTGTGCAACAGAAATAGATAATCTGAAAAAATGGGTTGAGATCTAGTGACTGTGAAGGCTGTGGCGTATGATTCACATTAAACCATTAAGTGACTCCTCATGGTCGGTGTGGAAGCATTTATTAATGTTTCTCAACTCACTTATTCATGTTTTTCCTTGCATTTGTCACTTCCTCACTGACAGTAACAACATGGATTACTGACAGACTAACACAGGCTTTGACATGCTAAAATGGAGGAACAACTCATGAAACCAAAAAGTGTCTCACTCACATTATCATTCATTCAATGAAAGACTGCCTAGTTTCTTTCTTGGTCTTTTGGATTAGACTGCATGTAAATGACGCCCTCAAACTAGACACCAGGATTTATAATTTTCTATTAATTGTATAAACAAAAACAATAATAAATTCATACATAGGTGCTTATTTTAAATTCTTTTTTAAAAAAAGGAGAAAATCTTACTTTAAATCTGACGATAAAAGGCATTTTTCTTCTTCTTTTTTTTCCTATTATTACTCTGTGGGTCCACAAGCAGCAGCTCATTAACATTTTTTCTCTTACTTCGTATTACCAGGTGTCATTTCTGAGATTTAATTGCTGCCAAAGGACCTTCTTTCATGTAAACTATTTTTTTTTTTACAGGTTGAGAAAACTGCAACCATGAAAACATCACTCTAATAAATAAATAGACTACATTACATTACCAGTCCTTGACACCCCTTGACTCCTTGAATCCAGGTTGCCTTCATTCTCCAGGAGCATGTTCTGTGAATGTGCTGTGAATTACGAGCACAGCATCAGGGATATGCCCCTGTGATGTGAAGCTGAATAGCTGCTCGCAGACTCATATATAGAAGGAAAACATCCACTGCTCTCTGGATTGAAACCTCTGCACAATACGCCACAGCATACTTCAGCGTCATTGTTGGAGGTGTTATTGTTGTCAGCTCTTTTTATGGACTACAATAAGCACGTCCACATCGGTGTTTAGAGAAGTGTTCACATATTTTTATGTAAGGCTCCAGCCTTTCCACCAAAAAGATGATTTCTGATGAGAGGCAAAGAGAGAGAGAGAGAAATCTCAGGGAAAGAAGGAAATGTGCTGGAAAGTAACACAACACAAAATCCGTCCCTGAGTTTGCCTTTGCCTTTTGTTGTTGTTGTTATTGTTGTTCGAGTACAGTGAAGACTGTCAAGGCATTATCTTCTCAAAGAATGTGGAGAAATAGGAGCAGAGAATGGGAGGCAGGACTGGAATCTGTTATAGATTATTGATTTTCTACCTAAAACTACTGTCACTCAAGTTGTCTCCTTGCCTGCTTTTGATGATGATATTTATAGTTTTTTTTTATCTTAAGGAGTGCTACATTTCTCCTTGGTTTGAAGTTAATTTCTTGTATTTAACGAGGTACTTTGGTGTCTGATCTGCTTGCCAGACAAGAACATTGACAGTGTTCACTTTGCAATTTTAGCACAAGCTTCGGCAACTACTGGTTCGGGTTAGGGACATACTCTATGTATGGCAAATAAACTAAAAGAATTGGTTAAAGTTAGGGAAACTTCAATAATGGTTAATAAAAAAGTGAATCTACTGACTACTGCATGAAGAACAGACACGCCCATCCACCACCTCCACACCGTTACTCTCCACCTCTCGGTATTGGACATAAATCGTGAGGTGCAGAATCATCTAACATGGACGCACTTCCCAGTGATACTGAGCTAGTTCGGCTATGCATCATTCTTGTCATATGAAGGACCACTGATAAATTAAAAAATCAAGACTGCACATTATTCTTTCTTTACATCACAACTTTTCCTCATTTTATATTCTTAGCCATTACATTCTCCCCTCTCCTCATAAAGATGATTTACTGATTTGTTTTGACCAGCTATGCTCTTCTGTTTTTAAAACTGTTGTCCCCTCTTCTGTTAGTGAACCCTCACTGCTGAAATGACAGCAGCATGGCCTAAAAAGGAACGCAGAAGGGCCAAACCTAGGTGGGATAGCACTAAATGTCATGTCCATTAACTTTTAAAAGACTTAACAACCTCATAAAACATCAGAGCTGCAAGACATGAATACCATCCTAATCTGTTTCTGTCAATCTGCACTCAGCTGATTTTCTTAGTGCTTTCTAACTCTTGTGTTGATTTTAGCTTTATGTGTCTATTTGTTTAATTCCTTGTTATCTAACAAGTGAGTGGTCTCTCTGTATAGGAAATTCGCACAATAGCATCTACTGCCCACAGACACAGGAGCCATCTGGCCTTTTTGGTTGGTCTGTACCCACATTTTTTCTTGCCTATGTGCTGCATTGTGTTTCACATATACAACTGTAAGAGCACACTACAGGAAAGGATGGAGCAGAGACACACAGTCACACAGACAGATATGTACATTTATTGGCTACTCACACTGTGCAGTATATTCACGCATACGCCAAGGAGACAGAAGTTAGAGAAGGAAAGATGAGAGCAGTGGAAAAAATACTAAAACAGGAAGACAGAAAAGGGCAAAGAGAAACACAACCCGATAGACGGTCATTCCAGCCAAACAAATGAACAGACGGAGAGACAGACAGACAGAGCGGGAGACAGATGAAGGCCGAGTGCACCAGTGCTGTGGAGTGACCAGCAGAGGTCTGGTAATCCATCTGCTGTCATTTCCACAGCACATGGGGGGAAAGGCACCTTTTTCTCAGGACAGCTGGTTTCAATTATTAACATTTATATATTTGGATCATTTAGCAGATTTTAGCCACAGAAAACTCAATGATTGGTAGAAAAAGTTTACATTTTTTTATATTTACATGAATAAGCAACGTAATCTTTAGGAAGAGTTGTAAAAGGGAATTAAACAAGAGTGGTGAGTTTATGGCTTTTATAGGGTGTTGTAGCGTTTTAATCATCCTTAACAAACAACTGAGTGGGAGTGTTTTAATTCCTGCAGCTGTTTCAACCCCAACATTTTTGCTGAGTGACACAGTGGACAAACACATTTTGCACAAGCATGGGGACTGCAGTCATTTTTAGTAAAGTTTTGCATAGGTCAGTAGGAACAGTGTCTTCCAGCCTTTTTGAGAGGAGCTCCAGCAGTAAACAGTCCACAGAGTGAAACAGAGCGAGAGACATACGCGGGTGGCCTGAGAGATCAGTGTCAGCCCGAGGGCATCGTTGGGCACTTCCTCTGCTTTGTGCCTTGCTCATATGTCTCTCAGAAATGTTCAGACAGACAGAAGCACAGACAGTCGCACATGCATGCAAGCACACAGACAGATGGAGGCTCGTAATAAAGAGGAGGAAAGACAGCGTGAGAGAGTGAGAGGCAAAAGATAGCGAGAAAGAACGACAGAAAGAGCAAAAGGCCAGCAGTTCGGCCAGAATGAGAGGTCTTTTGGTGTATCACTGTTAGCCCTGGGGCATTGTTTGGCACCCCTGCTCCACCATGTCCGCCTCCTCATATGTCACTCTGCCAGGGGGTCCCCTGCCCATCCCTCCAGGGGCCCTGCTTTAACTGTGCTAATGCCAAAAATAACTTCTGCTAATGGAAGGGAGGCAGAGGGGACGGATCAATAGGAGTTATCAATGACATTGTTAGCTTCCTGCAAGCTAACTTATTGTTTGCGTCCTGTGCGTCCCGACTGCCCTGAGCTATTTTTGACCAGATCACTTGCTCTGTCAACAACTGAGCAGGCACAATACTTCAAGATTCATGTTGTGGCTTATTAGGGAAAACATCAGATTACATTTCAATTGAGGGCTATAAAGCTTTTCTGACTGCTATTATTGTGCATTTCATAAATTTATATCAGACATTAAGATTCCTCTATGTTCTCACTTTACAGTAACAAACTGGATCTGACTGGACTTATTACCCCGAAGGCTGGAACAATCTGGGTTTCATTTGTTTACTTGGGTCAAGCTCAAGCTCGAAATTATTACTGAATGTCTGCCAGACTTGTGTTTTTGAAAACCTACAAACCCTAAAGGCTGAGTTTGGACAGATTTTTCTTCAGAGAATCAGCGCAGGTCAAGTTGTAATCTGACCCTGTTTATGAAGAGAAGAGGAATCCAAAATAGAGAGACTTAGAAGAAGAGGGGAAGAATAAAGCATCAATTAGCTGCTAATATTTATACATTCAAGCTTGTTAAACACTTCCATATGTAAATAAATACCGCTTGTGGTCTGTAGCAGTGACAGCGAGCTTACTGGTTAGCTTGACATTACACTTATGTTGTAAATAACTGCTGTACGCACTGTCGCATAGGTATCAATGTTTTTCTGGTTTGTAGATGCATCCCTTATGGGAGTACTTAATTTCTTTGCAACGTAAACAAAGATGCAACATTTTCTCATAAATTTTTCCCAACCAAATCTGTGGAAAATGTATTTTATTGCTCATAAAAATGTGATTACTGCTGTTGTGGTTGGGTATTTTAGTGCAGGTTTCCAAAAGCCCTGGAAGAATTTCTTCCTTGACGACCGAAATATGATGATTCAGACAAAAAGGAAATTAAATCTGCTGTCTAACAGCAGGTCACGGGTGCTATAGGACATAGTGCAGATGGACTTTTTTTTATTGTGACACATGCAGTGAATGAGAATCACTTATGTCATCCTTGTGTTGAGTCCCTCAGTATAATACCTCCCTGCTTCTATAATGTCCTGCACCGTGACCTTTCTACACCTACAAGCAAATATCTCAGATGACTGTAACCAGTCTATAAGATGACATAACCAATCACACGGCACACAACAAACACCACTCTGTGGTTTCGCTCTCCTCCATCTGGCAGCTTATCTTTGCATCATGTGAGAAAAACCCCTACAGCACAGAGATAACGTCAGCCTGTTTAGCGTCGGTGGCTTTTTCCTGGCACCCAGCAGAAACCAAACTACATTTTTAAGCCCTCTATAAAAACGGGGCTTTGATTGTGCAGCATGCGTTCATTTGGTCATTTGTTTGCTTGCTCACGTGTAAGACATTGTAGCTTTTTACGCTGCAAAGTGTCTAGGGAAATTATGATAAACAGATATACACTGCGTAAGTGAAATACAGTATGTGCAGCATCTTCACTGTAGCCTGGGAAAGTTCACATAGCAGCAGGTATATATTACTGATTACTGCAGTGCTTCTGGTTAATGCATACATTTTATTCTTTGTGCAGTTATTCTCACAGGTTTTAACAACAAGCTTTCTCCAGTTGTTCATCCCCAGCACCTCCGCTCAGAACTGACAAAACACTTAGCACATTTGCTATTGTAATACCACATTGTATACAGTATAGATCCTGTACTTAAACACACACACAACCATGCACATACATAAAAACAGATGTCTAGGGCATGTGCAAAACACATGAGAACTCACAAAATCAAAACAAAGATTTGGAAAAATCTTTGTAGAGGAAACTGTTAGGATTACTGTTTTCCCCCGTACTCTCCGCTACAGCTTGTGAATGACTTTTCCAGCAGTTCCTTACTCTATACGTGTGTGTGTGTGTGTGCTGCTCGTCGGTGTGTGTGTGTCCTCACCACAGTTAGGTAGTACCAGTGTGGACAGAAGCTTGCGTCCTCCTCCATCCTCAATGCAGCGCAGCTCCTGAGTGTCTGCTTCCTCTCCTAACCACAGCTTGATCCACATGTTCTCACAGGAACAGTGCAGAGGGTTCCCTGACAGGATCCTACACACACACACACAAAGTTAAGAACAAAGAGTAACTGAAATTTTGAAAAAAACTAAGCAATAGCTTGAATAATGTGGTAACTGATGCAGCACAGTGTGCCTCAAAGAAATAGTTCAAATAGTGTGTGAAATATGCTTGTTTGTTTTTTTTGGAGAGAGCTGTAGGATTTAGATTGAGACAACGCTCATATCTGTCCATCAAATATGCAGCTACCTCCAGCAGCTGGTTAGCTTAGCTTAGCATAAAAGACAGGAAACAGCTAGCTGGACTCTGTTGAAATGGTTAAAGGTCCAGTGTGTAACATTTAGGAGCTCTATTGGCAGAAATGAAATATAATATTCATAGGCACATTTTCATTAGTGTATAAGAATATAAGGATCGTTGTGTTAATGTTACCTTAGAATAAGACGTTTTCATCTACAGAGTCTGACATATTAAACTGCTACGTCTCTGCTACGTCTCTAGTGGAAGATTTTCAGACTCATGGTAACTCAATTTCCACATGGAATCCAAAAATCGATTGAACAGTACTAAACTGCATTGAACCATTGGAAAATGTTGGAATTCGCTCTTTAGAAATACAAAGTGTGTACATTTGTCCACATAATTTCCATGCCTCGATGTCCTGCAGTGCAATGTGAAAGTTACTGCTATATTAAAGTAGTGGAAGACTGAGTAAAGGGTATGTTTGCCTTTACTGAGAAATGTCATATAGCCAATCACACTGAGCGCTGGTGTTTAATTGTCACTTGCCGACCCTACCTCAGCTAATCTCAGTCTCCGTTGTGGCATAAATGGAAATAAAACATACTAAGCTGCAGGCAGCAGTTAACCCAACACCAAACTTCAAAACCAGCCATTGAATATGCTGTATGTATATGTTTATCTACAGACTGTGGCGATAACTGGTAAACCCGAGAGAGAGAGAGCCAGGAACAGAGTGACAGACAGACAGAGAAATGGACAGGCTGATAGAGAAGGCTGCACTGAACTCACAGATAAGAGATGTTGAGGTGCCTGAATATCCTCCAGGACAGTGATGACAGGTTGTTATCTTTCAGATTCCTGGAAATTAAGTCAAACATCGGGGAATGAGATTATAATGCCAACAAAACATCAGGTTGACGTTACAGCATCTGACAGCACATTTCTACGTGCAGCAATAAGCCTGCATTATTACTTCTCATTAAAAGTTTTCCCCTCTAAGGATTGTGATAATTAACCTTAAAGTGGTACATTTTATCTGTATAATAAGTATCAAACTTTAATTATGTTGACGGGATTCCAAGATCAATTATAAATCCTGTTCAGTCTGAACCTGGACTGGACTTTTCTGCCATAACAGGGTTTGATTTTTTCTCTCTAGTTAATTTTCTCCTCATAATCTTACAAATAAATCTCCTTTACATTATGATTTCAACAATAAATACTAGAATTAATTAATTAAATTACAACACAGCTACATTTTCAGAAGATGAGACGTCTTTAACAGTTTTGTGCTCAAGTGAATCAAACAAAGGAAGCCGTACAGTGGATAGCATCAGTTTTTACTTACAGATACTGTAACTTGATGTTGTTCTGAAAGGCCAGCTTTGATACGTATGTTAGCCTGCTGTTGGTCACCGTTCTGATACAAAAACAAACACAACGGCATCATTGTCACCACGATCTGTACAGTTATCAACATAAACAACAGCAAAAACATGAATTCAGGGTCCTGATCAGCTTCCATGAAGTCTGAGAAAATCTATTTGGCACCAGTTTCAATGTTCAAGTCATGCCAAAAGAGGATAGACACCAGTAAAATTACTTTTTCACCACCTGGTAAATACCTTATCATTCATTTAAAAAGCTTAAATAGATTACACAACATAGGTTAAGTTACACAAGCCAATAGTAAGAGTGATCATAACTGCATAACTTTGTTCCCATTGAAAAAAACAATTATTGTTTCATCCGGTTTGCCATTGAAGTGACATTTAAAACAAATGATGCCAGCAAACACTATCTATCTGAAGATAATGTACACCCACTATTTAAACTCAGCACTAAACTCTTCTTAACTCACTTTTTCTTAACTGATTTGTTGTCATTTCTTTTAATTGTCTTATCTTGTTTAATATTTTTTATTTACTTTCATTATTTGTTTTTACTGTAAATTACTCTGTAACTTACACTGTAGTAGTTTTTATCAGACAATCTGTATCAAACATCAACAGACCATCTTTCCTTAAAATAAATTAAAAATACAAAATAAAGACTTCACTAATCCATGGCTGTCTATGCAAATTGCACCAATTAAAGATCTTTCGAGTCTATTTTCTGCCACAGTGCAACGCCTGCGATTTTATTTTTTTATATATATATAAACATAACAGATGTCGCAATTAATGCAAAGCCTCTTCGACTGTTTTAAAAGTCAGGTGCCTTTAATGTTCCTTCATACTGTGAATCACTCAGCATTGTTAAAACCAGGTGCAGAGAGTGTGTGTTCTTCATCAGCTGACATGAGGCTGTTATACAACATCATTATCTGATATGAAAAGTTGGTTTAACAGATGTTCTGTGACTGATTGATCTCGTCTGACATGACTGAGACAGTGTCAAGATTTTCATTTCAACCATGTAAAAAACAAGGCACTTGACAAATGATTACTGTGAAACTATTAAAACTGTGAAATAGGATTATCATATTGGTATCATTCAAAATATTAACTGCAGCGAGTGTAATTGTGTGTAAATTGTTTCTCAGGGACAGTTGTCCTTGATTGTGGCTCAAACATTCATCCTGCCTGCATTTAGAGTTCCGCTCCCTCCAGGTCCAACCACAATTAAAAGCATATACACTTGTAGTGCGTAACTTGCTTGGTACTAATCTGTCTAGCAAAAGGGATATTGGCTGGAAAATTAGGTAGTGTCTACTTAACAGATGATTATGTTGCAAGAGAGTGCTGCTTGGTAGACAACTCTGTTTTAGATTAAGACATAAAATGAGACACAGATGCAACTACAAAACACCCAAGGACACAGCAGGGTTTAAAAGCAACATATGTGGACAGAGTATAGTGCCCTAAGCAAAGAAGGAGGAGTATCAATAAAGGCAAAGTAAATCAATATTTTGTATGCAGTGGACCATAACAAGCAAATTACATACGTATAAATGTATGTATACATAATGAAATGGTTCTTCTTTCTGCCTTGCTGCCAATATTTAGGCACACATAGATGATGTGGTTGACAGAACAGCCACAGAATATAAAAATATATGACATAAAACACTTTTTTTTGGTGTAAATTTGCCAATTAACAATAGCTCCAAATCGGAGCCAAACGTGTTGTCTTGGTAATTTGAGCCATAAAAGACTTACAGGTTCCTGAGATTCTTGTAGTAGTGCAGGTCTTTGTCGTTAATGGAGGAGAAGCTGCTCTGGTTGGCGATGTAACTGTCAGGACATACAAGTGAGTGTAGTAGTGAGTGAGGGAGGGAAGCAAAAACAGAGGCATTTCAACAAGACAAAGGAACATAATAAGCCCATATAATTAGTTCAGAATTAAAAAATGAACTCCTGAAGGAATACAGCTGATAAATGGGACACAGGGGCAGCTGGTGATTTTTAAAAAGTAGAAACAGACAGAGATCTCCCTTGTCTTTTTCCTCAGCTGCGCTTGAGCAAGGCACTTGACCTGTTTTAAGGGCCATCAGGAGGAGATTGTGGGCAAAACCTGGCTGGGAAAACCATGGGAATATGTGCTTTTCAAATATCACAGCTTTGGGATCAGACGTCTGAGAACATTTAGGTGAACTGATCTCACCTAGAGGGAACATGCTGTAACAGTCGCAGCAGAGCTCTTTCTCTAGAGAATCACCGTGTTTGTCTAAATCACAAAGTCATTCAATTATAGTTTTTCATGTGTTCGATGCATAGGATCCGACTGGGAAATAAAACATCTCTAATTAGATTTATTGATTTCCAAGATCTTTAACATGGCTATAGTTGTGAACGGTCTTCAGTCTAAGGTTGTTTTTTTCGTTGCAAATCACTTCAAAAACAACATGATACGTTGGATTTTATATCTCTCGTCTCTGAATTTACACCAAATTACATTTTAGTCGGTGCGAACAAAAAGGATGAGGATGTGAAAGACAACACATAACCCTTAAAAATATTTTAATGGGGTATCCTGGTGGCCTTGGGGGTCATATACTATGTTATCCCAACATCCGCCGTTTGAGTCTGCATGTCACCTCTCGTCTCTCTCCCCTTATTTCTTGTCAGCTTCAATATTTAAAGAAGCTGCAGAGTTTTAACGTTTGTCAATGGTTTAAACACTGAACACCTAAACCCTTTCTGTGAAAAGCAGCCTCACCACACGTTTCACACAACTACTTTCATTAAAAAGTGAAAATCCCTGACAATTGTGACAGAAAACTTAAATGTTTTTAATGTAATCTACCATAAATCACACCTTTGGCATTAGTAAACAAATAAATAAATCAGCTAAAAGCAGACAATATTCCAGTTCAAGGAAGATGAATAATAATCACCATCACCAAATACTAAGAGCATGCACACACGTCCATCTCTGCTTTCTCTTCAGGTTTCATGAACTCTTCAATGCAGGGAGGAGTTAAGCTTGGTGTTACTACACCCACATGTGTCCATTAGCTGAAATCTACTATTTTTTTCTTGTGTTAATGTTTATTTAAGAGCCAACACCCACAAAATACCACCAACATTATCAATACTGAGGCTATTAGTCCAAAGAATATTGTGACTTTTGTGTCATTTAGTACACACAAAGCCTCAATTAGGTCTTCTTGAGGATATTTTCTTAGCAGATGGGAACTAAATATGATTAATTTTATACTCAACACATCCATACATAGGGCAGAAATCAACAAAAACAAGTCAATATTTAAGATTTTGAACCCTTCTAGGAATTCATTGACATTGAGAGCCCATTATATTCTCGTAAAAGTGTGTGTTTTGAGTTCAGATGTCATGAAAAATCAGGATGTTTAACAAATTAACAGAAACAGGGGGCACGATAACCCGGATCTCCTCGGATTTTTGGCAAGGTCGTTTGGAATTAGACGTCGCACGGTCATCAGTAATTTGTCTGTTTACATTAGCCAAGCACTCCGTGAATGCTTTTCACCAGATTGCTGGCTCATTTAAACTGCGTCCAAGGCTTCTCCAAGTTCATCTCTGACAAGTCATTATCAACAAGGCCGTTTATCTTTGCCAAGAAAGATATCGCAGCAATTAAATATTTTAATATCCTGTGTAATTGCTGTCAGATATCAGCGCTTAGACACGTCTCAATTTATTCCAAGGCCAAATGACGTTAGGGCTATATTAAATGGCAGTGTAAAATAGGGAGGAGGGGGGGTACAGTACATTTCAAATGCACACTGAGATTTTGTGTCATGTTGAATTATCCCAGAAAAGGAGCTTCCAGTCTTCAAATACAGTGTACAAGTGTTGACTCTCACTAAAAAAAACGCTTCTTTGTTTTCACTTGAACATCGATTTTTCTCTTCGCTTCTGTGGTTCATTTAAATACACTCATATAAGCCATCTTGGGAAGTGTCTAGTGCTAATATTTGGACAGTGGTGTCTGGTGTGCGTGTCTCCGTCCACACACACACACACACACACACACACATACACTCACACACGTGGGCACGCGCACGCGCCCGCACACAGACAGGGCTTTGTCTGATTGTCAGAATAAAGTCTATCAGCCTCAACACTGCTTTTTATTTTTATTTTATTTTATTTTTATTCCACGCTGCTGTTGAAACACTGATGTGCCCCCGTGAAGGCAACGAGTCTGTTACGCAATGTAGGTTACACATGATGCGTCTGAGCCGAATAAACGAAAAGGACTTCAATTTATATCCGAGCTGGTGAATCTGTGACTTCGCCTCGAATTCATGCAAGAGATTAAGATTCAGAGCAAAATAAAAAATAGACACAATCTGAACCGGTTCTGTCTCTTTCCGGGCGCATCGTGTCTGTCAGCTCCAGACACAACTGAGGGATACATGATGGCATTCCTTTATTTGGAAAGTGTTGGAAAATGCAGCCAGTGTGATAAAAGCGGAATATATATGAAGATTTAAGGAAGAAGTGGTGCTTATGAGAGACACTTACATGTCGGTGATGTTCTCCATCTCCGCCTCGCTCTGCAGGACGGGGAAAGCATTGATACCCCGCTCCGGGTCCACGCAGGAGATCCTGGTGCTGCTGCAGGAGCAAGAGGACGGGCATGCTTCCGCGGACAACCACGGGTCTCCCGAACCCACTGCCACCCCGACTACCACGACCCACCACCACCACCACCAGCAACGCCACGACCCAGACCCTCTCCCCGGCGAGGAGAGAGCCCCGCTCCAGGGTCTCAAGGCGCTCATCTCGGGTGCCAACTTCAGCTATAAGGCTCGCTGAACAGCCCCACGGCCCGGCCCAGGGTGGCTTGGGATCAGCCCCGTTTCAGCCAATCAAGGAGAGGAGAAATAAAGTAAAATCCCGATGCTGAGGTGGGTACAGGCGGCGCAGCTACAAAACCATCGGCGGTGACAACAGTGACAGACAGCGAGAAGGGAAAAAAAGAAAACAGGAGAATGTGTGTGTCGTCCCCTTTCCTGTGTGTTTCTCCAGAATCCCCCGTCAGTCAGTCAGCCAGTCAGTCAAAATCACACTGCCACACTGACGGGTGTGTGCCAAGGAGGATCTCTCTCTCTCTCTCTCCTCTCTCTCTCTCTGTCTCTCTATCTCACCCCCTTTCTCTCTCTCTCTCAGCTGACACGCACCGACCGGAGCCTCCCAGACACTATGTTCTCTGTGTGTGGATGATTTCTCGACTGAGAGACGGGTGGTGCTGCTCGGTTTGGTGGGTGGTTACAGACTGAATGACAGTCAGGATGCGCGCCGCCGTTCCCGCGCGGCGCAGGGATGAAGGCTGAAAGGAAGAGGCACCATGGTACCATCGGCATCAAAGCACATCATGCGTACCGTGATACCTCATTGATCCCCCCTCCTCTCCCTTAGGGAAATGCTCCTTGCTCTGTTTGCAGGACGGTCTGGGGGAAGGGTCAGGTGCAGAGCAGAAGGGTTTCTTGCTCAAGGGCACCTCAGCGAGGTCTTTGACAGGGCTGCGTAAATCCGTGGTTTCTGGTTCAATCACCAACCCCTGCTCATGCGTTTTAATTTTTTGGGCCGTCAGGGGTTAAAGTTCCTATCTGTGCCAGGCTTTGCCGGCCTTGCCTTGAGTTGTGAACGAGGTGTGAGCGTCCTTGTCTGACAGGGAGAGAGAGAGAGAGTGGAGAGGTGGAGAAGGTTCCTGCGTTGAAGAGGTTATTTAATTTATCTGCTAGCTGGCTTCACATTATGTGCGTAAATGAGATATAAGGGGCTATCAATTTACAGGCTCTAATTGGTATAATCATTCTCATCATCACCGCCGTCGTCATTATAATCATCATTATCATCTGGTTGTTATGCTGCATGTTTCACAAGTAGACCTGTATACAGTTAATCAATGAAAAACAAAGCGGTCTGAGGAAGACCTTATTTTGAATCCAGTCTTATTTGGGGATAGGTAATAGGAATTAATATGTGGGGGGGTAATTCAAATACAAACATCCTGCTATGTCCCAATAAACAACATGTTATAACATGTTTAGTTATCCTATTGGCCTTTTTCAATGCCAAGGCAGCTGATGGGAGCTTCCACTGTAAATACAACTGGACAGAAGGGTGGATGTAAAGCATCACATGAGAGAGTGAGAGACCAAGAGAGAAAGAGGGAGCAATCACCAATCATCAAGTCTTTAGCTGGCGTGTACTAGACCAAGCGTCACCTTATTAAATCATTAGGCCATATTTCATAATCATATGGGGCTCCCAGCCAAACCAGACCTGAATCAATAATCTGTCATCTTAGAGTGGAGGCTATAGGGCTGCATGCCAGTCACTCTGCTGCTATTGAATGCATTTTCTAACGCAAGAGTTGATCTGTCTTTTACGCTGTACAGCCACTGAGGAGGTATTTCTCCTCAGTCTTTCACCTTGTACGTGAGAGACAGAGAATGACAGCACATCTGCCTGTGAGCAGCAACAACACACCACGGCTGTGAGGAGTCCTCTCCTCTCCTCTTTCTCCCTCTCTCCAATGTCCTGTCCCCATGTGCAGCTCTAATATGACGTTTGTGCTGACGCACAGGCAGTGCTGCTGAATAGAGGAGTGTAATTATTGAGCCCTGTCTGTGTCTGAACCAATCTGGTGGATGCCTGCCTCAGAAACTGGGGTGCACGCATTCTGCACAGAGCAGGGTGAGCGTACCAATTAAAACGTCTCACAAACATAATATTCTAATTACTCATCATTCCTTTTGAAATTTGACAGAGGTTGTAACCGGTGTTAAAGGTCTTTGACATTTTAAACATGTAATCACCCCCTTGAACCATCTGTCATCCACAGACAAAGCATCGGTCACGATGTGTTTCATCCAACACTGTGAACGTATTATGGTATGCCCCGCTTATTTAGCTTGTGCCAATTATGCAGCATGTTTGACGTGTTAAGTGTAAAACAGAAATCACCACTTTTCATCACCAACTTTTTATACAGACACACTGACTGGATGCTGCCACTGATGACATTTAAGGCAAAAATGAAGCATTGCCAACTAAAACTGTGAACAAAGCTATTTGGTTTTATTTTTTAACTGACATAGCAAAGTCTCTTGTTAATTAGACAAGGTTTTAATGAATTTGTACAACAATGTCAGCATCTGCAAACATATACGAGTGATTCCTCAGCATCAGACGCTTTCCTGGAGTTAGTCCACTGACAATGAATTGTAAAAAATATTTTTTGGAATAAGCTCTGGCTCACTGACAATGTAGCCATATTTAAAATGACCATGAGGTGCTGTGTGTCCTGTAAGAGTCATTTGTCCATATGGAAGAGCTCTAGGGTTTATTTCAGATCATACAAAATAAAATTAGATCACAAATAAAACCTGCGATGTAGTGTAACTACAAATTGATACAAATACGTTTAATTTAATTCAAAAAGTGGATTTTCTCTTTCATGTTGAAAACTTTATTGATTCCGTTGGTCACATGGTTTGTGTATAGGCCTATGTTTTTTCATGACGTCACTCAGCTCCCCTAGCAACGTGACATCTTACTGTAAAGATCGTTTCCTCCGGCTGTGTGATCACTGTTCCTTTATGCTTGATGACAATCAAGTTGTTTTTATGGTCACAATTACCTGTGGTGGTGTCGGTTTTGTCATTACACTATGGCTGCAACTATTATCTTCATTTCATCTCTTAATGGTTTAGTTTAAATATAATGTAACTATAATGTTAGATTATTGTGGAAAATCATCACATATTCCCAAAGATTTTAAAGTTACAATGATATAAGAAACAGTGAATTTAAGGCCCTTCTTTATCAATTTAATCCTTTAATGATGAATAAATTATCAAAAATTCTTCCATATTTTTTCAATCTAATTAATCGATTTATTTAGCCAGACACCACAATCACCTGTTGTTACATCACAATCACCTGTTGTTGCGTCACAACCGTTTATCAGCATATATTTATTAATGATAATCGCTTCAGGTTCACACAAGGTAAAGAAAAAGAACATAACATTTATCAAATCCTGTTTATGATTTATTCATGTGGGCCTCTAAAAATATATAAAAAGGGTTTATATCATGCTTTACCCCAAAGCTATGAGTAACAGAGAGAAAAGGTCATGATTGGGACACTAGAGTATATGCAGAAACAACCACAAAGTTAATCCAGGGTGCAGTGTTTTTCTTCTTTTATTAACTGTGAGGGGTTTTGGCACATGATGCATGGATAAACAAGCCTCAGTCAGACAAAATTTTCCCAGCTCTGTCTTTCCAAATTCTTGGCTTTAGCTTGATTAATGGTTTTAACATGTGGATTGGCTACATCTAGTTGATGGTAGATAAAAGTCTTCAGTGGGCCCATGTGTCCTTAGTGAGAAGAATAAGTGTTTGATTTTTTTCCATTTAAAAAATGACTGAATGATACTCTCTTTTCTGAACTGAACTGTTGCCCCATTCCCATGAGACAGGGTTTGGAAATCCCACAGAACAAATGCAAGACAGATGACTGTCCTTCTGCATCTGAAAGGGAGGAATGTCTTAAAATATGACTTATTTTTTAAGCTTTTACAAACAAGCTAGTCAAATTACAGTAATCTTTGTGTTTCCCATTACCAAGGTTATGGTCTACTGTAATTGCAGGTAATATGTTGTCTAGTTTTATAATCTTAATTGTTTTGTTATGATAATCCCCTGTTTACTATATGTTTGTTTACAAAGCACATCATATCCTAGTGTGTCACCCAATATATGTGCATATAAATATTGTCATGTGGACTCACATGGACCTGTTATAACCTCTGCATACTATGTGTATAGTCCTGAGAAATTATACACTAGTGCTCTCTAGTGGCTGCTGGGATGCTTAAGATACATGAAACATCATTGTGTCATTTGCACACGCTACATCCATATAGAAATAATATAAGTAAGTAAAATCCTGTTATTGAGGAGAGAGACAGAGTGACTACTACTATACATGTACAAGAATGTTGTTGGGGGAGGAAAAGAAAAAAATGACTAATGATAAACATAGGATATGAGGCTATTGAGTCCAGTTTTGGAGAGTTTGCACCAAAAATGATTCCTGTTTGTAACTGAACAGCCCCTACGTGACTCAATTGTATACATTAAATTCATGCATGTGTGCATTTGTATGTGTTTGTGTGTGTGT